GAGGAATGTGAGAAATCATTGCTCTCAATGTCCTTATTCTAATAGAGGCAATAAAAATCAAAATTTCATTTCGGCTGTGATTATGTCACTACCAGCATGATATGGTTTTCTTCCAACTAGCTGATGCTTGCAGACAGTATATTGATCCCATGTAAGTTACAACCACACCAAGCGGTAGGAGAAAGCTTCTTTTTTTTCCCTTTCCCAGTTAGTTTTTTTTCTTTTCTTTTACCCATGTCATTATCTTCCAGTACACCCCCAAGTCATGCTTTTTTCTATTCATCATAAGCTTTGTTTTGAAGTCTTTTAGAGTTGATCTTGCCACTTTGTTGGACAGTTGTCATCTGAGGACTTCCTTCAATTTCCCAACTCCAAAATTTTTACTTCAGTAAGCTGTTGGTTAAGTAGATGTTACCTTGTCCTATAACTGTCTTAACTGTGCGTGTGTGCCTCTCACTTCCTACCCATAAATACCCTTCATTTCACGGTATTTATTTTGTTAAGCTCCCTCCAACCTGAAAGAAACCCAGCCTGTCATACCATCAGAGTTTAAGTAAATCATCAATAAATAAACTTTTATTTCATCTTGATTAGATGTTTAGACATTTGTCATTTCTATAAACTTTGTTTACTTACACTCTATCCACTTTTTCTGAAAGTAAATTTAAAGAAGCATTACATAGGAGGGAGGTACTAGAGATTAAATTCAGAGTCTTGCACGCTAGGCAGATAATTTAACATAGAAGCTATGCCCGGACCCCTTCATGGCTTTAGTTATTTTCAGATAGGGTCTTTTGTATGCATCCTGGGCTGGCCTTTGACTGTGATTCTCTTATCTTTCCTTTCGTGCAGCTGGTACCAAAGATATGTCTTTAAACCTCACATGGACAGGCCTTATATTTTGAAGCTCTACCACTTCCGTAGCTTGAATTAACTGTATGAGCCAATGTGCTCAGCATTATAATAGGTTTTTGATCTAATAAAATTCCTGCCACTACCATCAGTGTACACTAAGATACTCCTGAATTTTACTTGCTACGTTTTTTTTTTCCTTCACTTTCTTTCCTCATTCTTTTCTCTCTTCCACAGCATTTGATTCTTTGTAAACTTCAGCCCTCTGTTTATCAGTTCATAGCTGAGAATATTAAAGCCACACCACAGATACTCCCTTATTATGGTAAAAATCCTGCAAATTATAGTTCCATACATCTTTTTCTTCATACACTGAAAGAAATTAGTTCCTCTCATAGAGCTATTTATTTGGATCCTATCCTGTCTCACATGGACACCTGACTTTTCTCTACTTTACAACCAAATATTATCTTACCAGTTAACATGTTAACTGCTGGGGTTGTACAAGTCAACAGGACAATAACCAGACCCAGGCTCCCTGACAGTCAGGGTTAGCGTTCCTTGATACATGATTTTTCCTTTCCTTTGTTAACTGTTTCCTACAGGATAAAATTGCCTTTGTTCTTTGGATTTGCTACATTTTCCTCTTCCTCCTCTTTAATTTGACTTTACTTCACTTATTTAGTTAATAATCCAGGGATGTTGCTAGAGTAGCAAAAATTTGATAAGAATCATCACCTTCCGTATTTCAGGTAATGGAGCAGTATAAAAACAGCTTGAAAGGCAGAGACACTGTCTCCTGTTCCCAGGGTGGCCCCTGGACAGGTTAAAGTTGACATCTGGTGTGGCATCGATTGCTTTCTTCTCCTGGAAAGCCCTGGTTGATCGCTTGACACCAGACATTAGATCTGACCTGAACGTTAGCCCAAGCAAGTGCTGCATAATTAAGCGGCTGAGATTTGTTTCCCCTGGTTGGACAGAAGAGCCTTGCAAGGTGAGAGCTCAGTTGAAGTGATAATGCTGATTACATCCTAGTAGAATAGGAATCTGATCTTAGAAATTTCCTCTAGCTCTTGTTAATGAGGCGAAGACAACACTTATAGAGAAAATGAGGTCACTACAAAAGGGAACCTTTTGGATTTTTTTTCTTTTTTTCTTTAATAAAGAGCCAATCATTTCACTTTCTTTTGAATCAAGGCCTAAATTTATTGTCCTGAATGAACCTCAATTTAAATGAACAAATAAGAATGTCTTCTCAGGGGGATAGTAATCTTTTTTAAACTTACAACCCATCAGCATCAAGGGAACTTAAATGACTCTAGAAAGTAACACTAAGGTAAGTAAGCCAAGAAGTTAAAATAACTTAAACCATGCTGACAAAGGCAAACTGAAGTAATTAACAGCAGCCAGTTATTATGCAACTATATTATTTTTCAGTAGAATGCAATTTTTATAACAGGTTTTTTTCTTTCTATTCTTTTCTTTCTATGCTATTCTATTGTTTTTTGAGCCTCTCTTTACATCTATAAAAGTTATTTTCCTAAGGATCAGTTTACATCCTCACCTATAAACAATGTATAGTCAAAACAATCGCAGTTATCCATTTCCTACAAGTCCATACATTTCATGATGAATTCTTTTTTTATGTACACGTTCTAAGGTGAGATTGGGCTCTGAAAGTTCCCCAACTCACTGGCAAGAAAGTATCTTCTCTACCACAGTTCCCTGAGAGCTACATTAAATATTTGCATCCTGTTCTGCATTTATTGCTAATCCTTTGTCCCAACTGTTATTAAATAATCTAGCAATTGGATTCGATCTAAAAGCATTTATGTGAAGTCCAAATACATCCCCTAACATTTCTGTGTTCATAAATTCACCATCCTACTGTAAGGAAGCATTTTATTTATTTATTTATTTCTGACATCTCATTCTCTGAGCTTCAACGTACTTGAGTAAAATCAATAGTCACAAAAGGAAAATGGGGAACTTGAAAAATGTTAACTCCAGACTGAGTTTGAGATGAGAGTATATGGAGAAAAGAGAAATCATAAGTTCCCACCTACTATTTCCCTTTGGTAGTAAATTTTAGGTGGTTGTAAAGGTATTGCATGAGATGGGAAAAAATTTAATGATCATGATATTAACATTTATTCAATATGCTATATGAACAAGTGGTTCTATTTGAAATACTGTTGGTACTTTATTTTAAATTTAGCATCTTGAAAGGAAATTGGAAGTTCATTTAAATGAAATTTATTTAACTGAAATTCTTTCACCCTATCCTTAATTGGAGAGGCCTTCCGGGGTTGATCATGTAAACAACCTCTGCTAGTCAATGTGGTTCCTTTCAGTTCTGGTTAACTAAACTACTTGTTAGCTGCTTTTGTTGGTCCATTTCTTTTTTTTTTTTTTAAGTATAAATAGATATAAAATCTATTTACCTTGTTTCTTTCTATATAGAGAAACAAGCAGAAGCAAGTGTGAACGTGTGTGCTAGCTTAAGACAGTCTCTTTTATAGAGTAAGTGCTCAATAAACGATCCTTATTTTTTCCAATCTACAGTTTTTCCAGAGTAAAATTGTCCTACCAAGGTTACCTGAGATGTAATTATTGCTAACTCTAATCAATACTTTTAAATTTCACTTTCCCTTGATCGCTCTCCTGTATTTGCTATTATTCAATATTGCCTATATCATTTTTCCCCTTCACAGTCTTCTAAATCTACATATTATTAACCTGGAAGGCTCGCTGTTTCTTTCTCTCATCAGGGGTCTTCAGTTTGTGTTGAGCCCCAGTCATAGACTGATCCAATAATTACAAATATTCCCATGAGAAGGGGAAATGGTTAAAGATTAACAGACAGTCCTGGAAAGGCTCAGTTTACCCAGCGTTTGTGTTCATTAGGTGCTATCATTTACCCTCTCTTTTATTTTTCTTTCTGTGCTGTCTCACTCACTCATATTAAATTTCAAAGTGATAGCTTAATGCCGTCGGTGGCGTAGCACTCTCTTCCAGATCCACTCCTTTTTAGGGCCACCTCTTCTCCCACATCCATCTACCTAGTTACCTCTCATATCTGTCAGAGGGAAATCAAATTTGACATGTCTGAAATGTACTTGGTATCTACCTTCCTTTTCAAATATGCACCATTTTCTGTATCACCATCCTGATTAGAATCTTAACATGCTCATTCACCTAGGAACCCAAGCCAAATCATCTATCCTGCTCCAGAGCCAAGGTAGCAACAAGTTCTAGCATGTTGTTTCTTCAGCATTTTCTACTGCTACCAGCATAATGCCTACCTATTCCTTTCAGATTATCTTCCACCCACTTTAGAAGTGAAGTACATTTGACTATATTCTATCTTTATTTCATGTATCACTTCCATTATCTTTCTCAAAAATACTTTGCTAAATATACCAAAAATTACCTTGGTGCTTCTATGAACATTGACATTCTAAAGGTTGAATCTTGGCTTCTTCTGGGATGTCACACCATGTGTAAAAACCATGTGAAGTGTTTGTATGCATAATAGCCAATCTGTAACAGGAGCCTAGATTGGATTATGGCAACTTTTTGTTGTTGTTGTTTTTGTTTTGGCTAGCTTTTGTTAATGTGATATTGTTGAGCCAAGCTACTTCTCATATAAGGCCTTCCGTAACTACTTCCAAACTCCTGCTTCTCATTTGATGCTCCAAGTCATTAACCGTAGTTTATTTCACTGTTCATCAATCAGTGTGCTTGTAATTCTAGCAATATATATGTTTGTCTCTGTTCTTGAAAACTCTAGTTTCTTTATTTTATATCTTTAGTAATAGATACACAGATATCAAATAAATAATGCAAATGGAAAAAAATAGGAGAAACTTTACTTTTAGAGATATCAGGTTTGCTTACCGCATATTTCCTATCATACTAGTAGCTGCTTAAAGAAAATTTGAACTGTTTGAATTCAGTAACATAATTTTTTTCTTTTTATTTGATTTCCTTGTACAAGGTTTGGGATAAGTGAATCTTTAAATTCTTAAGAGTTTAAAAACTTACAAGAATTTAAAGAATTAAGTACAAACAAATTTACTTTTTAAATACATTGTAGCTGCCTCTAAAAATGGCAGTTGTAAATGTTTTCTGCTTCTTCCCAACAGGTAATATTTGAAGCTGAAGTCTCAGGAGGAAGAAGTGGTTATATTGCCATCGATGACATCCAAGTACTGAGTTATCCTTGTGGTAAGTTGTATTTATCTCAGTTGTATTTTTCTGTGTCCTTTGAAAACCACTGTCATTCATAGGCAGTGACTGGATTGTTTAGGATTTGGTCATCACTTTCTTGTTAATTCTTGGTACTCCTGGCCTTCTCTTCTTTTGAAAAGAAGACATAAATATTTCTGGAATTCTGTTACAAGTATTTTTTTTTCATTTGTAGCTAAATATTAAAGGGTGACTATTTTAAATGACTTGATTCCTGGGAACAAATTATAAATGCAAAGGCAACTCTTGGTAGGACCTGTCACATTTTTCAAGTATTATCCAAATGTTTAGGAAAATGAAGAAAAATAAATAGCCTGACTGAATTATCTGAACTTCTGATTTTAAGTTCAGGTGCAACAAAGGGAATGACTTAGTTCACTTTGTTTTAAAACTTAGGGATATCTTTTTTTCATGTCATAGTAACAAATATCTGGTTAGTTGACATTAAAGAAAGAGAAAGTGAACAAAACAAAACCCCATTTATTAATGTAAATTGCTTATGAATGACTTTAGAAACATATTGATTGTTTTTTAGATCACATATCTGTTTGTATTTAAATCACATTACTCAAAAGAAAATTACTTATAACATGAATTTAGAGGAGCCAACGTAAAATGAGGCATAGCGTCAGACTTTTCTTACTATATTTTAGCAGCAGCAGTAGCAGCAGCAGCAGCAGCAATGGCACCTGTGTTATTCTGGATCTTCTGTATAATAATCCTCTCTGGTAGCCCTATCTCTATGTCATTGTAAACAGGATGCACAGGGACCCCATATAAAGGATAAGGCTTTGTGTCCCGGGTGGGTGGGTTGTCATCCTTTAGCGTATCAGAATCCTCCACAGGGTATGGTAAATCAGACTTCTCCTGGGTCCTTCTTCTGTTTCTGACTCATTAATTCTGAATTGGGACCAGAGAATTTACATTTCCAATCAATTTCCAGATGTTGCTGATGCTTCTAGTGAATGGATTTCTTTTTTGAGAATGGTCTTTCTGCTGTTCATTCTAGTTCAAACATTTTTCCTCCTGAGTTCTTATTAAATTAAGGCCCTAGAGAAAGAAGTACCTACCAGGCCAAGGTCACTTACATTGTCTATGGTGTATATGTTTTGAAAGAAGAGAACAAAATGACGTCACTCAAAATTCAGGTTGGATTAGTAAATTTTTTCAGTCTATATGATAAGAACTCTGTGTTTCTATCTACTGTTCATATTCATTTCTTAAATGATAAATGGGCAAAGAAAGGCTTTCATGAATGGGAAATTGTGAATTGGCCACAACAATGCCACTTGTACCATGGTATGGTTTTCTAAGAATTTTCCTTTTATTGACTGAGGTTTTACTTTTGCTGTTTATATTTTCTGGAAATGAAAAATACCAGTGGAAGCTTTCATTTCAAATGTCAATTGCAAGATACAGAACTGATCTCCTAGTTTCTGTATACATTGTATGCAGTCATCCTTTTCATTTAACTAATATTTCTTTTTGATATCTTTCTTATGCTTATAAAACTAGCATGTTGATTTAACAACTGTTAAGTAGATATTCTATTTTTGAGAACTATTTAAAAAATCCCCTCTTTCTTGGAACTATGAGGGTTTTCAAAGGAAGGAAGGAAGGAACAAGGGAAGGGGATGCAATTACTTAAATCATAAGTTGGAATTATATGTTCTAGACCTTATAATGGTCAGTATTTTAGAAAGCTTTGCATATTCCTGTTATTCTCTGACACATGTCTCTTTGTTCTCCTTTTCAGTTTACACCTTATATTATGACCCATATGTAACAGCCTATAACGGCCTTCATAATAACTATTCAGCACTCATTCTATGTAGAGAAATGTCTTAACAGTTCAGCATGAATGTACAATAAAGCTACTCAGAAGAAAACTGAGAGACAGAGAGAGAGAGGACATGTTATCTTCTAGCACAAACAAAAGTTCATCTTTTTTTGCATATTTGTCTTGGCCAAAAGTAGAAACATTAAGAACAGTATTCTGTTGCAAATAAGTAACACAAATATTAACAGAAACATTAAGAACAGTATTTTGTTGCAAACAAATGACATGAAATATTATTTGTATGTTATTTTTTTTCTCTCCATTTACAGATAAATCTCCTCATTTTCTCCGCCTGGGGGATGTAGAAGTCAATGCAGGGCAGAATGCTACATTTCAATGCATTGCTACAGGGAGAGATGCTGTGCACAACAAATTATGGCTCCAGGTAAGATTCAGTTGGCATCTGAACGGAAGATTTCATATGATACTTTTTTTCAAAAAAGTTAGCATTGGTCTTGTGTGTGTGTGTGTGTGTGTGTGTGTGTGTGTGTGTGTGTGTGTGTGTGTGCACATGCAAGTATGTGCCATAGATTGTGTGTGGGGTTGGTTTAATGGCCTGAGACCAAACATCTCCCTTTCTAATGAAATATAAATAAAAATATGAGAGCACATAATCAATATTTGCATTGGTCTCTAGTGAAGTCTAATGATTTTCTAATGCTTTCTTCAAATTCTAAAGGAAAGTTCTCTAGATCCATTCAAAATTGGAGTGAAAAATGAAAATTTTCTTATTTAATAATTTTGGGAGAATAACTTGTAAGGGCATAGTAGTTACTTAAAAATTGTCTTTATCTATGAAACTTTCCAACATATTTTAAGTAACTCTTGATATTAAGATTTCAATTGGAAAAGAGTCAGTTAAAGTTTTGTTTAGATTTTTTTCTATAGCAGAATGAATCACTGATCTATATTTAAGACGTCTGACTTAAATATATTAAGCTTTTAATAGATCTGTGTTTGCCAATTATAATTTAACTTACATGAGAAAATGTAAATGGAACATATAAATAGCTTCAAAAGAATGAAGGGAATAAAAAACCTGTAGAGCGAGGAATATTCATTTTCCTTCAGAGAAATTAATGAAAATCTGTCTGTCAACCCTGAAGTACTGAGGGGTAGGAAGGGCTTAGGAAAACTGAATCAAAGAGCCCTGGACCTGGGTCAGATGGCTGTTGAACTAAACATCTAAAGGTAGATGATATGTAAACAATAATGTCTTTAAAGCATTCTTATTGCATCAGAATAAGGAAAAAGATTTAAAGTTTTTTTTTTTTTTTTTGTCAGTTGTGGGGCCTGAACTCTGGGCCTGTCCCTCAGCTCTTTAGCTCAAAACTAACACTCTACCACTTGAGCCACAGTGCCACTTCCAGCTTTTTCTGCTTATGTGGTGCTGAGAAATAGAACCCAGGGCCTCATGCATACAAGGCAAGCACTCTACCACTGAGCCATCTTCCCAGCCCTGTTTTTTTGTTTTTTTGTTTTGTTTTTTTGTTTGTTTGTTTTCCTTCTGTCATGGGCTTGAACTCAGGGCCTAAGCTCTCTCCTGACCTTTTTTGCTCAAGGCTAGGCCTTTACTACTTTGAGCCATAGAGCCACTTTGGGTTTTTGGTGGTTAATTAGAGATGAGTGTCACAGACTTTCCTGCACAGGCTCAGTTCGAACTAACATCCTCAATCTCAGCCTCCTGAGTAACCATGATTAGAGGTGTGAGCCATCAGAGCCTAGCACTTCATGACGGTGCCAATCAAGATCTTACTGAAGAATCTGTGTATGTTTATCTTATTTTCTTCAATATGGACATCAGAATTTTTTTTCACTATATTCCTTGGGGAGGAGAGATTCTTGTGCAGGTATTTTGGGTTGAGGTTATAATATATGGATATATAAAACAATTTTACTATAATGTTTGGTATTATACTAGATGTTATATGTGTGTTTCCTAATTTCGCTAGGATGGTATAATAAATACACATAATGTTTTCTATTAAATGGTTTGTCCCTACGTTTATAAATAGCTTCAAAAGAATCAGGGGGAAAAAACCCTAATGAGCAAGGAATATTCATTTTCCTTCAGAGGACCTAATGAAAATCTGTCAACCTTGAAGTAATGGGGGAATGGGTGGAGTTTAAGGAACCTGAATATAGGATGTTGGAGCTGGGTCATATGGCTGTTGAACTAAACATTTAAAGGTACAAGCATACTATCTTTTTTGCCTAATTTGGAAAGCAAGCCAAGCTTTGTTCTTTGTTCTCATTATGCTAATTTCTACTACAAATATTGAGATATAGGATTTTTTTTTTCTGAGAGTGCACATGGCATAGCACACTGACAATTTTACCTACTCACTGTAAAGTCCTTTATTTAACACTTTTTTTAAACCTTGGCCAATGTAAATGGTTTAAAATTTGTTTTTAATATCATTTTCTAATTATTTTGATTCTTATATTTTCATTTGAATAAAAATATCAGTTGCAATTTGGCTTTAGTTGTGAGCCATCTAGTTTTTTTCTTAGGAAGCCAAACAAGTCCCTGTATTCTGGCACTGTGGCTTTATACTCTAGAATTTAATGTGGCATTGAAATAAAAAGGGTTTTGTGTCCACAGATACCAGCTGGCCACACAGATATTCTGGACTATCCTGGATTGAGTAGGTTACAGTCACAGAACTGTACACTTTCTCTTTTTTCTTATTTTATGCATTGTCTCATTTATTACAGTTTCTTTTTGTAATATATATCTTTTATTGTAAAGATACTGTACAGAGAGGTTACATGAGTAAGATAATGAGTACATTTCCTATGGAACATTGTTACTCCCTCCTTTGTTTTTCCCATATCATCCCTTCCCTTCCCACTCCCCCAACTCCTCCCTTTCCCCGCCCCAAGTTGTAAAGTTCATTTCTTATTTTTCCCTTCTATTTTTCATAGCGAGAATGCACTCAGTGATTTCTGTTCTGCTCTCTTCCCTTTCTTCATTTTGTGTCTGCCACGGAAGTGAGCTGTGTATTCGTCTTTCATGTGCACATGAATACTGCGCAGTTTTCATCAGTGTATATGGATCTCATTTATTGACAAGCCATTCTGTCTTTTTCACCAAAACCATGTAAATTACCTTAAATTATTTTTTAAATCACTGTTTTCATATTCAAGACATCAGAATACACTAATTACTGTGGGTGTGTTTTCAAATTCAAATTTTAAAAATCCTTATAATGATACCATCTTATAATCAACCATGTGAGATCAGTCCTCATATATATATGACAGTAAAATAAATGGCTGTTACTTAAAAAAATATTTATCTTTGGTCAAAATTAGTAAAAGAAACAATACACTACAAAGAATTCTGGTTTCGTGATAAATCTCTCATCTAAGCCAAACAAGTAGATGTCAAGTTATTTTCATTTAGGATGGGGACTAACTTCATATAGTTCAGGAGACACAGTTCTTAATTCTAACCTTAATCTAACCCTTCTTACCCTTCTAACCTAGTTAAATATAGTGGGTTTAGAGATTTCATTAAACTGTTCTGGGCTTTTATTTCTTTATCTATAAAAAGAGATAATTTGATAAAGACTAAAATCCCTTCCAGCTGTAAGATGCTAAATTAGGATTTTATATTAGCTTTGATGACCTGAAATGTGACCTTGATAATCTCCTTTGTTTGATAGAAAAATGTAAAATTTTTATGTTATTAGTTTTGTGTGGGCAAAGAATGGTGTCTTAAATTAACTTTCACTGTGAGAACAAGTGCTGAAAATATCTGTGGAGAGCATTGAAAATGGATGAACTTGAAGGCAACTCAATGAAAGGTCGCTGCATTCTATCACAGAAGTAATGGAATAATAGAGTAGCTATTACACCTGCATGGTCAGGTGAAATCATAAATGGCAACCAACTTTTCTTTTAAGTCCTTCAAATAACATAGTTACGTTGTGTTTAGCTTCACTTGGTAAAATGCTGTCTAAATATAGAATTAAGTAGCATGCTACCAAAGCTGCCTATTTTCTGTTTTACAAGAAAAAACATGACACAGAACAACTATAAGAAGGATTAAGCAAAATAGCAGAACATATTTGTTATTTTAAGACTTTGATTTGTCTTTTTATTTGTTGGGGGAGGTAGTGGGTATTGAACCCACGATGTTGCACTTGCTAGGCAAGCACTTTGATACTGAACTACCTCCCAGCCCAAGTCTTTGAATATGGAAATATATTTAAGGACTAACTCCTTTCTGTTATTCTTGTGCTGTGATTCATATTTCAAAGATTTTTATTGCCTAAAATTATTTGGCAGTTTGGTAAATTGAGAAGGGGAGAGGAAAGAAAGCAAATACTAGAAGAGATATCTCAGCTAATTTATGGTAATTCATAAATCATATTATGGCTGTTCTGGAGGTATCTGGAGGAAGCATTCTTCTTTTAAGAATCAGATTATATAAATATGAAGCCTTTGATGAAGGTCACTTGATTTAGATATATAGAAAACAATACATAGCTCAATTAACCTATTTGTACATGTTAAGAAACGAGTAGTTCATAATATAGCATGGTTCAATATTTTCAGTGATTTATTTAATGTCAGTGGACTAGAAATATAGGGAAATCATGAGACTTTCTGGAACATAGTCTTTTTTGATCGTGGGGCTTGAACTCTGTGCTTGGGCGCTGTCCTTGTGCTCTTCAGCTCAAGGCGAGCACTCTACTGCTTGAGCCACAGCGCCACTTCCGGTTTTTTAGTAGTTTATTGGAGATAAGAGTCTCACAGACTTTCCTGCCCAGGCTGGCTTTGAACCGCTATCCTCAGCTCTCAGCGTCCTGTGTAGCTAGGATTACAGGCATGAGCCACTGGCACTCGGCCTTCGAACATAGTCTTAAATAGTATCCTATGTACAGTATCATATATTATGTAGTAAAGTACATAGCCAAAGTGACTTATAATAGTTTTTTTCATTCTTAATTTCCAAATTCCTCTTGCATCATAAAGCTCAAAGAAGTGTGCATTTGTTCATAAATACTTAAAGACTTTTGTTGTCTGAATTATTGAAAAAAATTGCCATATAAACATGTTTTTCAGGTCTTGAAAATTTCAGAACTAAATTTTATTGTGCTCCTAAGGACTGCAGAACTAGAAAAGTTGTGATTTATGACTTAGGGCTTATAGTAAAAGTGAGGTTATAGGAGATAGGATCACAAATCATATTCAACATAAAACATGTACTGAAATAATATATTAAGGCATCTATTTATACTATTGATCATTACCAGATGATTTTCACATAGGAAAAATGACTGTTAGGTTGACTATACATAGAAATGTTTCTTCTTGTTTTTGTTATTATATCTTTTAGTGAAGAGCAGTTCAAGTGAATGAGTGAAAAATGAA